AGATTTAATCATTGCATAATAACATAGACTACTATCTATCATGGCTTTCATATTATACATGTTATCTATCACAGTAGATACAAGACGTCGGAATGAGTATCACGGATGAATATGTTGAAGACATATGAATCTTATGTGTATCAAGATCTGCTTGTTATATTATTCATACACTATCTAATATATCTATTTCATACAAAAGATAGAGCTATTTATAGTAAAATATATGTGTGAGTCAAGAGAGCTAGTATAAGTGAGTATTAGACAAGTGTTGTAGTAAGCTGATGATGATGAGAAATATTATAGTAATATGATGTTGATGATGTTCAGTAGTATATAATCTCTTTTTCCTGACACACTTCTTTCAGTGAATGTAACATATAAATGAAAGTGTAAATGAAAGTGTAAATGAAGCTGCAATAAAAAGAGTGTAGATGAATCTATAGAGATTATATCAAGATAGATTATTTATTCTGCTTGTGTCTTAATGATATCTGATATATCAACTAGGCCTAGCATCTTGATGAATTCTGTATGTTTCTGGCGTGGCAGAGCCTTAGTGAGACCATCCACTGGCATCTGAGCCGTAGGCACTCAATCAACTGTAATATCACTGAATTGAACATGTTCTCAGAGCCAGCTTCCATATATATCAATGTGGCGGAGCTTTGTGATTATAGAGAGGTCTTCCTTTGTAAGAATGTCAACAGTTTGATGATTATCATATTGAATACAGATCTTGTGACCAGATTCAAATTGAATATGTTGAAAGAACCTATCTCATCAGATAGACTCCTTGCCAGCTTGTGAGATAGCAATAAGCTCAGCTTCTGTGATAGATGTAGTTATGATTGTCTGTTTATTTGATTTTCAATCAATAGTTCCACTGAATAGTTTGAAGATATATTCTTGTGTAGAGCAGTGATTCAGATTATCTGTGAAAGAGACATCACTGACAACTTCAATGATATCAGGTTTGAGATCAAGTTGTAGAGATCTGTCAATGTTATCATCATATTAGATAGCAAGATTCTTTGTATCGCGTAGATAAGATATCATTCTATTCATCTCTGATGAGTGGTGTTTCAATGAATTTGTCATGAATGTAGCTAGTTTATTCACTGCATATGCCCCGGTGGCCGAATGGTTAATGCGGCCACCTGGTAGCGCCTTGGCGTGGGAAATCAAGGCGTGTGGGTTCGAAACCCGCAGGGGATACATTAAATCCGGAACTCAAGCACCTCAGGTTCCTAATAAATACAGAGGTGTACAAATCGCTCCAACAAATTACTCTATGTTCCTGGGATGAGAAGTTATTATCGCATGTATTTAATTGTCACTCCTTTGTATTTCCTATGTTCTTGTTATCTTGACATGGTCTCAACACCTGTATTTCCTCCTGTATAACCAACACTTGGCCTGTATTTAACATCACGCAAGGACTCATCATAAGCTCCGCTTGCATATGAGTATAATGGAAGAATAATAATAATAATAATAATCCACTGCATATGTGATATCAGGGTGAGTTATTATCACTGAGTAGATGCAGAAGCTGATATGTTGTTGATAATGATGGATTTTTGCAGATATGACTGACTTGTTAAAAGGCTCTAATGAAGCATCAGTTAGTGGGGTATATGCCTTGCAGGCGTGTGCGAGATGATATGTATCAACTATCTTATCAATATAGGCATTCTGACATAGTCAGAGCTTCAAGTTGAGATGATCGCGTATTATTCACATGTTGAGAAATCATTTCAAATCTCTCATCTGTCAGATCTTGTAGGCATTTTTAAGATCTTTGATTAGTTAATCTCTTTCTTTTGAATCTTCTCATTGTGATAGAATGATGATATCATTCACATAGAAGAAGATGATTAATTGATCATTAGAGAAGAGACATCAATTCTCTGATATAGAGGTGAAGTCTAGTGTTCTCAATGTTGAAGATAGTTCATTTAACCAGAGAAGGAATGATCTGTGTAATTCATATAGTGCTCATAGAAGTTTTAGCACATGATTTGTACACTTTAAATTTTACATTCTCTTCAACTTTCATCATTCATCAGGTAGTTCCACATATACTAGCTCATCAATATCACTATTAATGAAGACATTGATTTCATCTAGCTGTTCTGCATCTAGATCAAATACTGCTGTTAAAGCTAACAAGATTCAGAGATCTCTGGCAGCTAGTGTGTGAGCTTTTGTAGTGAGATCTGTGATTGATTGAAGATCTCCGTGTACACAGATGTGAGCTTTGTATTTCAAAAGAAAACCTTCATCATTGAATTTGTAGATGAATATTCATTATAGAGAAATAACTGAGATGTCTCTCTGTGATCTGCTAGTAATTTTATATGTATTCTGTAGAGATATACTATCTCATTCTCACTTAGCAGTGTTCTCAAATTCTTCATGATGTGAGTGTTTTTTGACATCTGCTCAGTGATTCAGTGGATCTGGCAGTTGAGATCTATGAATTCTTGAAGTTGGTATGAATGCTGTTGATGTAGCTGTATTATTGATAACAGTAAAAACAGTATTAGGAAATAAATTTTGAGACTTGTTGAAGTCTGTGTGTGAATGTGAATGAGAGAATGCATCATTGATCATTTGATAAGAATTGTCTTTGGCATTTTCAACTGTCACAAGATGGGCAGCTCTCTGTTTTCATGTTCTGCGGTCTTCAATGATATTAGCTTCATCAAAATCAGCACTAATATCATGAGCTCTAGATGCAATGTTCTGTGTTTGATTATCTATCACAGCTGGATGAGTATTAATATTAACATCAGAACCTGTTGACTCTGGTGTTGAATCTGGTGTAGAAAGATGCTCATTATTTTTCTTCTCTATTTTTTTGAAGCTTTGAGCATTTTCTTCAGAGCGGAAAACATCAATATCTGCATCTATAATCTCTTTCAATTGATTGATAGAAGTCATCAATGATTCTTGAACTTTCATATATAGAAGCTCCACCTTCTTAGATACTCAATCTCTTAGTTGTCTTTCAATGTAGAGATCTTCTGAGTTGAATTTTCTATTCTCATCAAACATCACATCTCTTGCTCTTATCACCCGTTCTAAGTGTGGAATTCAAATTTGATAGATGTTTGTAGAATCATATTCCACTAGATATTCAATATGTGCTCAGAAATCTAGCTTCTGAGAGCAGTTTCTATTGAGGACTTCATCTGGTATCTTTGCATAGGTGTGACATCTGTAGATTTGAAGATGAGCACAGAAGTGAGGTTTGATTTGTAGGAATTCTTTCAATGCTTGTAGAGATGACTTTCAATCTAGGATTCTAGTAGGGGTTTGATTCGCTAGGTAGGTGGCAGTAAGTGTGATCTCAGGGAAAAGTGATTGTGACAGAAGAGATTCTATCTGTAGAGTTCTTGTCTTTGTTATTAATATTGCTCCTGCTCACTCTGCTGCATTATTTTACTCATGAATATACTCTGAAGAATACTTCATCTCTAGGTCTTCATCATTCACTCAATTTATGAAGTCATCTGCTTTCTTGACTGCAGTATCATTATCAATATGAATGATCTTTATAGTACAGTTGAATTGATGTTTAATTCAATTGATAGCTTGTCTAAGAGCTTTTCAGATTTCTGATTTTCAGATAGCTGTTATAGCTATATGGAAATGTAGATAATCACACATGAAATGTATGAGATAATGCTCATCATTATAGCACTGTGTAGGGCCATGTGTGATATCCGTGTGTAGGCATTTGAATGGTATTTGAGATCTAATGTGAGAATGTCTAGATATTTGATTTTTTGCATTAGATAGATGACAGGGTTTGCAAAGCTCAGTGATAAGCTCATCTGCAGTGTCTTCTAGATTAGTGATTTGAATACCAGTTGCATCATTTGCAAGCTGTTGAATGATGATTTTCAATGAATGTTCTAATCTCTTAGACCATGTAGACTGAGTAGCTATAGAGATCTTAGGTTTTTGAGAAGGTTTTGTGTGTATTGACAGGTTGAAAGGATGATTTGTTGAAGTGTGTTTTAACAGATTAGAAGAAGGATTTGTAGAAGTTGAAGAATTTGAAGATATCATTTTTTCAGATATAGTGATGTTAGAAGTGTGTGATGTGGTAGCTACTGCAGCTTCAGTAGTTGATTTTTCTGAGATAGTTGAATAAACAGCTGTTTCACTATTATATTCTGTAACTAGCAACTCTTCAAATACTTCAATACATGCAAAGATTGTATTATCTGTGTGTTTTCACAATCTGAAGTCTTTTCCATCATAATAGATGCCTTCTATATGGAAACACGGTTTCCATGCGATGATATTTGTATGGAAATTCGGTATGTAAGCTGTGTTGATGAGATTGACATTGAACTGCTTTTCTGCTTCATTTATCATGATAGTTCTAACAGTTTCATAACCTTTAACTTTAGTGCTGGAATCATCTGTATAGACTTCTGCATTCTTGTTTGCAGGTGTAAAGAATAGGAAATGTGTTTGATTATTGCATATATGCTGTTCCGCGCCAGTATCAAAGATCCAGAAGTTTCAGAGATAGGAGTGTGAATTTGAAGAGTTCATTGATATTTTCCGGATCTGCTGATCAATAGATTGATGATTGATAGATTGATGATTGATAGATTGATGATTGATAGATTGAGGAACTGATTGCTTCAGAATCATTCCTTCTAGAACTGCTTCATTGACATCTATCATATCTGTATTCATGGATGATTCTCTAGATATCACACAATCAATACATCTCTTCAATCCTTGATTTTTAAGAGCTTGATTGATCTGAGTTCTCTTCTCCCCATTTTTCTTTCATCCAGGTGGCTTCCTTGATGAATTGAGATAGTAGCACTGGGCGTATCGGTGACGGGCTCTGCAGATGCAGTTTTCAAATGTCGCTGATGATGATTGCTGAGGTCTTTCATTAAGAGTAGTGAAGTTCATAGGTTTATCTTCTTTGAGAATACTCATTTCTCTATACTGTTTCTTGAAGTCCTTAACTAACTCTATCAAAGATATGACATCTTTATCACATCAGATATTCTTAGTCCATGCTTGTGTATAACCTGCATCAATAGCTAGATTCACATTTAAGAAGTCTTTCTTCAAGTTGAACTGTTCAGCTATATCCGCCTCTTTGATATCATCTTTGATGAGTGATCAGTCATTTAATCACTTCTCTATACCTCTGTTTTTCAGTGCTTTGCAGAGATCATGATATCAGGTTCTCACATTATCTTGATAGTCCGCGGTTGTGAAGAAGAGATGATCTCTTAATGAACAGATAATGTCATTTACATCATCATTCTTGCTGTGTACATGTCATAGCTCTGTGGCATCCACTGTTCTCCATATGACATCTCATATCTTTGTCATACCTTCATTCAATTTCTCATATTTCATATATTTGATTTTCCACGCAGTGATCTTGATGTCATATACTATCTTGGCCTCTGCAGTGGCTTCTTCTGAACACTCGGGTTGCAGAGGTTCTTCTAGTTCAGAGAAGATATCAGGTTTGTCAAGATTGATGAAGTCTGATACCTTCTTGTTCTTTGCATATTCTAGCATATGCTTGTATCAAAGTTCACAATCTTCAGGAATGCTAAGGTGTACAGTTGCACTAGACATTGTCTTGTCTGTCATATCAGTTATATTGAATGAATTGAGGAATTGGTTCAAGTATTTGAGAATAGATATGATCAGAATTCAGGGTGTATAACAGTTGAGTATATTGAAATGTATACAAGTGAGAATCTATTGTCTCAGTTTGAATGATAGTTATTAGTTTGAATGAGGATTGAGATCATGAATCAGATATAACAGTTGAGTAGATTGTACTGTATACAAATGAGAATCAATCATCTCAGTTCAAATGATTGTTGTCAAATTTGAATGAGAATTGAGATCAGTGTATCATGCTTCTCTTCAGATGCTGCTTACTGGGCTCATAACTGTTGAAATAGGTGTCACAGATGAATATGTTGGAGACATATGAATCTTATGTGTATCAAGATCTGCTTGTTATATTATCTGTATACTATCTAATATATCTATTTCATACAAAAGATAGAGCTATTTATAGTAAAATATATGTGTGAGCCAAGAGAGCTAGCATAAGCGAGTATTAGACAAGTGTTGTAGTAAGCTGATGATGATGAGAAATATTGTAGTAATATGATGTTGGTGGCGTTCAGTAGTGTATAACCTCTTTTTCCTGACACAAGAATTGCATTCATTGTCATTTTCTCTTCAAATCATTGTCATCCGACCTCTTCAAGCTCCTGTTTGCAAATTTAAACAGGAGCTAATCTTTTCCCTGTTTCATCAGGGCATTGTCATAGTTATCTTCTGAATCTTCCTCTAATGTAACATGGTTGGCATGAACTGCCAGCATTGATCTTTCTTTTTATTATTATTATTATTATTCTTCAATTATAGATGTATGCAGTCAGAGACTATGACATCTACCTGAGAACTAAAAGTTCTCAGGGTTTTTCCTATATCTATAAAGTTAACTATTATACATTCACCAATTTCAGATATGCAAAATCAGAAAATTCCAGCCCAGAATACAAAAACTGTTTACAAATTGCAGTATTTTAACATCTTCTGATACTTTGAAACCATTTGACATGATAAAAGAAAAGAGAACACAGTCTTAAAGATAGACACATTAAATAGATAGATAGAAAAGAATAGAAAGCAAAAAGTAAAGTAAAATAACAAGAGACTGTAGTGAAACAAATTATTGAAAGATAGTATATAGCTGTTTTAACAGACTATATCTGATCAATTTCCTCCTCTTCATATTCAGATATTTCTGAATTCAGCCATTTTCTTGTAGCTGCTTGAGTTTCTGATAGAAAGTCTATTAAGTATTTAATTCCTGTCTCAGTTGAGAATAAGAATCTCATATTTAATTGATTTAGATCATACTTCTCTTTCAATCTGACTCTGAGACTATTATATACTGCACAGTGCATTATAATATGCTCAGAATTCTCATTTGCATTGCAGAATGAGGATTCTATTGAATTAAATCTATCATCAAATCTTTGTATATAAGATTTGAAATAGCCATATTCTAATTTCAGCTGTATTATAGATGAGAATATTTTCTTTTTACATTTAATTGAACAAGATTTCCACTTGGGTTTTGTTTCAAATCTTGAATAATGTATACTCTTCTTTTGTTTCTGCCAGCTTTCATTTCACTTGTCTAAACAAGATTCTTTTATTTTTCTCTTTATAAAAGACCAGGACACAATTTTTTAAATAGATCTGCTTAATTCTGAACCTTTTTTTGCAGCTGAATCAGCCAATTCATTATCATGAATATTCATATGAGCAGGAACTCAGTGCAGATGAATTATCAGCTTTGATATTCTTCTCTTTTGAATTTTTAAAATGAAGTTTAAGATCAGTTCAAGATTCATTTGATCATTATGAATCTGACTATTTCTAAGTCTTTTTAAAGCAGCTTGACTATCAGAGAATATTCATATCTCTTTCAAACTATTTTCTCTTTTATGAGATTTTATTTCAATAAGTTTGAAAGCTTTCACTATTATAAATAGTTCAGCATCAAAGACTTCAGATTCACAGCCTAAATTTCATAAATCTGAGATAAAATTAATATTATCTTCAGTATAAGCAATGCCTGCACCTAATCTATTCAAATTCTCATTTTTTGAGTCATCTGAATAAATCAGAATAGAGTCTTTTATATTGATTGTAGAAATTCTCTTCAAATGCTGTTCATATTCTTTCTCTTTAGATAGTTCACTTATTTACAAGTCTATAAGAGATTCAGGCTTTTCTCTTCAGAGAGATAACTTCTCATGATCAACTTTTTCAACATTTAAAGAAGAAAATTGATTTTTAATCAGTGATCATAGTCTGTACAGTTGAGAAGACATTTTCTTTGAAGAATTATTTTCATTTCAATCAAGAAATCTATTTCAATCCAGTTCATTTCCAGAGTTAACTAATGAAAATGAGGAAGAGACTCTTTCTCTGATTATATGATTTGAGCTCATCTTTATAACTCTCAGAGCATAGTTTATACAGGCCTTTTCAAATCTAATAGCAGAAGGAAGAATTGAAGCTTCAATTTTCATTGCTTTAATAGAAGATGATTTAAATGCTCTCAGAATTCTTCTCAAAGCTCTGCTTTGCAGACTTTGAAAGAGTTCAGTGAAATTTCCTTGATTATTTCATCAAACTTAAACTTCATAATCAGCTACTAAAGTAATACAGGCTATATATAACTGTCTCATAGCCTGGAAGAATAGACCTCTCTCTGTATTTGATAGTCTGATAATGCTGTTCAGTAGTCTTTCTGCCTTGACAGTTCTTTGTTGAATATGATATTTAAAATTCAACTTAGAGTTTAACCATACTTCTAATCATTTGACATTTAAACTGGGTTTAATCTCTCTATTTAAAAGAGTTAGAGATAGTTCTTTCTCATTGAATCTAGAAAAGAAATGAATTAACTTAGTTTTATTCATATCAAATTGAATTTGATTGATATCTGCTCTGACAAAGATTTTCTTTGCAGCTTTTTCAATCACTTTCAAATTCTCTTTGATAGTTTTTGAGCTGTAGACTAGATCAATATCATCTACATAACTCAGAGATTGCACTATTTTCATATTTCTATCTCTGGATTGATATGCAGTGTATATTGCAAATAAAATGAGTGAGATTGGAGATTCTTGCAGCACTTCTATTTTTATCTCAGTCTTTTCTTATTTCATTCTATCAAAGAAAAGTTATATGATTCTTTTAGACATAAAACAGTTAACTCATTTTATTAGAGAAAGTGACAGTTTTAACATCTTCAAAGTCTGAATTAACTTTGACTTTGAAACATGATCAAATGCTTCTTTTATATCAATAAAAACTGCAGTTGAGACCAGATCTTCATACTTTGTTATTTGAATATCATGAACAACTGAGAGAACAGTGTCAATTGCAGAACATTGTTTTCTATCTTTCATTTATTCACTGAATAAAAGAGAGTTATTAATAGAGCTTATAAAAGATAGTTGAGTAGCTATTATCTTTTTCAAAACCTTTTCTAGACAGTTTAATAGAGATATTACTCTATATGACTTAGGAATTGAAGTTTTTCTATTAGGTTTTGTAAGAATCACTTCAGTGACTTCGCTTCAGCATTCAGAATGATATTCATTTTTCAAGAGATTGAAAAAGAGCTTAAAATATTCATTCTTTAAGTAGGAATATGTATTTTGAATAATCAAGTGATTAATTGAATCAGGCTCTGCAGCAGTTTTAACAGAACTTGAGAAGATAGCTGACTCTAGTTCATCATGTGTAAGATCAGGCCATTCCCAGTCATTTTCATCAATGTAGTTGAGAAGTGATATATTCTCTTCCTCTGAATCTGAATCTGAATCTGGTGAGTTCTGAAAGAGAATTCTCATGAAAGCTTGACATTTTTCCTCAAAAGAGTTTGCTGTATATGATTCATTCTGAAACTCATATTCTAAGGCTGAAAGTTTTGCTACACTTCTTGTTTTAGTATAGTTAAAAGCTTTAAAAACTTCCTTCTCTTGTGCTTCTTCAAGAAATTTATTTCAGCAGTCTGTTTTAGCTCTTTTAATATCAGAAAAATATTCATTTCTGACAGCTTTGAACTCTTCATCAGATATTACATCATTCTTTCAATCTCTTCTAGCAGTAGCTAATTCTTTTCTTTTAGATAAGATATTCTTATTCCATCAAGGTTTTGAATACTCAGAAGATTTTCTCTTTGAAATATTATCTCTAACACTTATTAGAATAATAGATGTAATGAGCTTCACTCTATTCTCAAGCATTTCATTTGAGATATCTTGACCAGAATTTCAATATAGCTCACTCTGTCTTTCAGATTTTAACAGTTTTATGCTTTCTTCAACTGCTTTTCAATCAGCTTTTTCAAAGTAAAACTGATTAGAGAGAAGAGGATTTTCACTCATTTGTTTTTCACTCAGTTCAATATCAAATTGAATAATCTCATGATCTGATTCTGATGTCTCATTTGAATCAATAAACCAGTTTACAAGTCTTTTTTTCATTAGATTTTGTGACATGAAGATTAGATCTATAATAGATTTCTGTTTCATATCTTTTCTAAAGAATGTTTGTTGATCAGACTTATTAATCAGATCTATTGAATGCTCAAAGATTCATTCAATCAGATTATCAGCTCTCACTGCTCTCTTGCATTCTGAATTTCATCAGAGATGATGTGCATTGAAATCTCCTGCAATTATAGAGTTTCTTGATGAAGTTATATTCAGAAAACCTCTATCAATTATTCAGATATTGTTATTTTTCTTCAATGACTTTTTATTATAGATATTTATGAGCTGTATAGTATCAAACTCATTTTCTTTATCTATAATATCACTCATCAGAATATCAGGGTCAGACATGATATCAAATCTTAGATTAAATTGATATCTTGATCTCTTTCTTTCATAGATCACCACTCTTGACTTTATCTCAGACTTTTGAGATAGAAAGCAGTAGTAGCTTGAATGAGAAATAATATA